TTTGAAGTAACCTTATCACATGTGCCATCGATAATATACTAGAAAGTATATTAGAATTACAATTACAGTTTTACAGGAAATGTAGAAAACGGTTATAGTTTTTATGCTGATCTTTTTAGTGGCAGTAAGCATGAGAGTGAACCCACTGAAAACTTCCTTGATTACTAACAAGTGTGTCAGTCAGGGTTCAGCCAGAGAAGCAGAGCCAGTAGGAGATGTGTGTATATATTAAGGAGTTTACTACATGGATTTGCTTTGTGAGACTAGGGGGGCTGGAAAAGTAAGCCTGATATCCCTAGTGGCCTGTCAAGGATGGTTATGGGCAGCTGGAACTCTTGGGTGTGACGCTGTTGTCCACAGGCAGTCAGGGAAGGAATATAGAGAGCAGGATGGAACCCCACGGGCAATAGCTGTTTGTAGCTAGCTGTGTCCTCAGGGAAGGCCTACACCCTTTTAAATGGCTCATCAACACATTGAATCCCATAATGGCATAAATGTATTTACAATCTATGTACAAATGACTTAATAAATAAATAAGACCCATTCAGGATAATCTGCCATTTGATTTACTCAGAATTGTCTAATCAGGACACTTAATTAACCTGCAGGATCCTTTGACCTTTGCTGTACACATGTAATACAACCTAATCACAGGAGTGGTAATCCATCATATTGATTTGCCTTGCTCACACTCAAAGGGAAGATATCCTGTGTACGAGGTGTGGGGGGCTTCTTCTTAGGCTCTGTGACCTTGTTTCACCACTGCTGTGAAAGCCCCTCAAAGACCCTTTCCACATGAGAAATTTTTGAATTCCTTCTTTCCACAAGCTTGCTCACCCGAGTATCTCCTCCTGAGATTTCTGAACCCCAGGGGTAAAGAGAGCTATTATTTTTTTGTTGCATGTCTACCCTGGAAGAACTAAGTATGTCAGTCCCAGCAATTTCTCTTACTCTGTAACATATTTATATTTATATTTCTTAGTGACCAACTATTACCTGCTGCAATATAGCACCATAAAGGAGCAAGTCTTTAAAAATTTCTTTTTAATTTTTCATTTTTTTCTAACTTTCATCATTATTTATCTTAAGGACATCTAACTATTAAAAAATAAATAAAACTTTATCATCTAAGAATAAGGTCTTTTTCCTACCTCTTAGTCAGCTGACAGAATAGTTTTGATACATATGATGATTTTAACTAATGCTAGAGGAATCCTTCTGAACTACCTGGGCTGTGTAATAAGAAATATTCCTTCAGGACTTGTTTTAGCTTTCTTATGAGTCTGGGTTGATATATCTAATGTATATGTGCCAGTTAATAAGGCCACAGTCCTTCAGAAATAGTTTTGACTTCATAATAAACCAGTTTTATGTATCTTGTACCAAAATATAACTTAATATTTTTCAGGCCAATTTTTCTAACTTTTGCAACCATTTTGATATACATTTGAAAACTAGATTTTTTTCAAGCATTCATGAATAGGATTATTTGAATAGGGAGTGGTTTGTCAACTCATTTTCTATGGGATATCTGGAGGAATGTATGAGAGAATTAATTTATCTTTAGAAATTCATTCATATATTCAACAAAGTTTCATCAAATACCTGACATTTGCAGGTTCTATTCCAGTCCTAAGGATATGGTGGTCAGGGTAGAGGAATCCAGCATATTATTCTTGCTCTCCAAAAGCTGAATAATAGTCAAACTAGGTGTAAAGAAGGCATTTGAGGAATAATTTCAATAAAGTGCCAACCTTGACCTATTAGTGGAAGTACAATGTACTACAAGAATACATAGACCAAGAGAGAAAATATCTTCCACAGTACCTAAGTTAGGGTGCTTTTTATGGCAATATGATCTTCAGATTGGAAAATTTCTATTGATTTACTTTCTACTTAATTAACTTTTTCATACAAATTCAATTGAAACTTAAGGTGATCCAGGTTAGTTTGTATTTCAGTTATTGTTTTCATCTTTTTATTGTGTTTTATTTTTATATCATTAACATTTTGGCTCCATCTGTTTACTCATTATGCGTATATTTTCCTTTTTATCTTTGGACATATTTTATATTTGTAATAGTTGCTTTAAAGTTCTTATCTATTAAATTGTATCAATAATATCCAGATCATCTTTGTATTGATTTGTATTGCCTGTATACTACATGAGGCACATTTTTTAATTTTTTCACAACTCAACAGCACATTTGTTGAATTTTCACAAATTCAACAGCATATTTGATATTAGAAGTGGTGGATTATAAAGACTCTGAATTTTGTTAAGTTTTTTTTTCTGAATAGTGACTTTGGCTTTGCATGTTGCTAACTTTGTTGGCTTGAAACTCCAGTTTTTCTCTCTTTTGCAGTGAGCAGTGTCTTATGGTTTTTCCCAGTTCTTTCAGCTTCCATCAGCTGTCATATACTATTCTGCCTCTCCCAGGAAGGCATAGTTTAGTGGCCAGCAAGAATTTGGATGAATTATATAAGATTTTGTGGATCTCTCTTTACTCTAAGATTTAGCTTATGTTATTTTCTGGCTATTTGTGAGTCCCAACGTGTATTTTCTGATACCTCAGTCCAGGAAGGCAGAGACCTTCTGTTGCTACTGTTAAAAGGCAGACTGGGCAGGGTATACCGCAAAGGAGACAACAGCGATTTTCAAATCACCCTAGCTGCTACTTGCCCTTTGAGAGAAATCCACTCTTCAATTTCTACCTGATTTGGTCCCTCTCAAATGCCTTTAAGTAGATTCTGAGGAGCATTTTTATAATAGTTATCCATAAGAAAATGGTTCAGCTAAACTACTCCATCATTTCCCAAAGCAGAACAAATGAAAAGAAGAATAAAATCTTAAAGGGCTATGCCAAAATGAAAGGCCACTAATTTAGATATAGTGCAGCTAATACGGGGTGTTGGTAAGATTATTGCTAACCTAATGTGGACGCTTTACTTCTAGTAGTGCAAGCTAATTTTCTGTTAGACGCTTTTACCAGGTGTTACACTGTCTGCTCATGCTATGCTTCAGCTTATGTTCTTTCGAAGCATGTGGATTATTTTATCTAAAATACTCCTCGGCCTGAACTATAGAAAATGACATGAAATAAAAGAAGGAAAGAACATGAATGGCCTTTGGTGTTTCATTCAACCAAATGATCATAATTCTTTTTTTCTAATGTCACTTTAGCAGTTCTTACCTGACTCCAGGGTCACAGTAATTATGAAAATAGAATCACTGTGACATTTCACAGTTAAGTCTTCTAGAGAGTGTGGGAAACCACTTCAGTGAAAAGCAAACAAAGCATAACTTTAACTCTAAACACAACCCACAAGCACATAAATAATTAAATGACATACTAATTTCCTTGGATAAAAGAAAAAACAGAAAGAATCATCAAGATTCACTGTTTGCTCTATTCTGTATTACATTGTTACATCCTCCCCCCCCCAATTTAATTTTCCTGTTGACTGGGTTGCTATAAGTAGATTAGTGGTTTGTCTTGTTTGATAGAATAAAATTGAAATTGTTTATTATCTGTTTTATTTCAAATACTTAGAATAAGTTTTCAAGTTATGTACATAATGATTAAATCAACTTTATAACTGTCTTTTTTTCTTAGATGACTTTGTTTTGTGTTGAGAGTTTTAACTCATTTTTATTTTAAGTTTGAATTGTTTACAGATGTTACAAATGTTATAATCATTTTAGGGTCATTAATTATTAGTACAGCATGAAAATTGCATGAAAAACCTGTCAAATTTGGGGTTGGGAATTGTTCCTTTAATATAGCAGACATAAATTTTCACCAGCCTAATCTTCAAAAATATTTGTGTAACTATAATTTCAAACAGAAGTGAAATAAACAAAGATATGGAAGAAACTTAAAGCAAGGAAAGTTAGACCAAGGATGAAAAAAAATAAGAAACATAAGAAAAATAAAAAAATAAGAAAGAAGGTGTTTAATTTTCTCATTATTTTTTTTATAGACTTTGCAGCATTTAAAGATATAGTGAGTTTCTGAAGATCAGGTTTAAGTATGGGAGAAAAATTGAAAGGGTACATATTGGAAGATGAAATATGAAAATAAATAGGGATTTGAAAGAAACATTTAGTAGGTATGAGAGGATTGATTGCTTTTTCCTAGCAGAGGATTGATTGCTTCTTCCTAGAAGATGAAGGTTGGCATAATAGCTCTTTAAGAGTGAAAGCCCCTATTGTCCAAGTGGGAAATGGCAGTATCAGAAATTGAATTACAGTTTTAGTTTTTTAAAAATCATATCACATCATCCTTATCACCATTATCATTGTTGAAATCATCAAAAATTTACTAAAGTGGGGTGGCCACTCACTACCAAAGGAGTAGAGCACCAGCCCCATATGATCTGGAGGTGGGGGGCTCATAACCCAGCTCTGGCCAAAAAGTGCAAAAAAAAAAAAGAAAAGAAAAATTTACTAAAGTTTATTTTATACTAGGCACTATTCTGAAACTATATACATTATCTCATTTTTTGATCCTTCAGGGAAGTACTTTTATTAGCTCTAGTTTTAGATGAGAAAACTGAAACTTAAAATTTTTAATTAACTTGCTAAGTGGCAGAGTTTGGAACCAAAACTGAATATTTCTATAGTAGAAGCGTGTATTCTTAACTATCAATAATGGCAAAAAATAAAAAAAAAAACCTCAAGAAGATTATTAAGCCTAAACTACTGTTTAATGTCTCTAATTTGGAGTTTTTCACTAAACAATATAAATGTTTATGTTATGGCCAAAATAATTTTTTGCTAATGTGAATGATTCAAGAATATGCTATTTATTTTTTGCAATTTGCCACTTTGACTTTCAATAGCGGATGAACTGTTAGATTGTTTGATCATTATTATTTCAAAGGACTTCAGAGGACTGAATTTTTCAAGAAACAGATTGACAACAAGGCAAAGTTTTATAGCCATACACTTGTATTTTTAAAACATTTGCTAATCTTTTCCCACCCTTTCTCCATAGGAAAAATTGGATGTAGGGGTAAGAAAAGAAGTTGATGGAATGGGAACATCTGAAATAAAATATGGCGACTCTGTGTGCTTCATACAACACGTAGACACAGGCCTGTGGCTTACTTACCAGTCTGTGGATGTGAAGTCTGTAAGAATGGGATCTATACAACGTAAGGTAAGCTTATAGAAAAGCACATTTATGCCAGTCATTTTTTATGAATAAGATACACAAGCACAAATTAAAAGAGGTCACTATTTCAGCTACCTGCTAAAGTTCGTAATTTTAAATACCCAAGGTCAAATCCCGCCATAATAAACTTTTTGGTTGCATAAAATGAACTTTGCCGGACATTACATCATGGATGTGTGGGATTATAGGGCTGATGTATTTAAACATTAAATGAAGAAATATATAGTAGTATGTTCTGGACTGTAGCTTAGTCTGCCTAAATTCACTTTGTCTTCCATGCTGCTTACATCCCCTTGCTAACCCTAACCCTAACCCTTGCTAGACAAGGGGATGTCTGCTAGACAAGACAAATATCCCCCTTTTTGGTGGTGGTGATATTCTTCCTGGCCTGTGCCGTTCTCCTATTCTTTTCCTAATTTATAGGCATTGTCTTTAATTTCCCCAGCATGTAACTTGCAGCATACTCTTTGTAGCTCCTCAAAATAAAACAAAACAGAATAAAAACAGATGACTTTTATAAACCTGTGCCTTTGCATGGACTGTTTCTTCTATTTGGAAAACCTTTGAAAACATTTTTGTCTGCCTGACTCCTATAGCTCATCCAAGAATTCAATTTAAAAATCATCTTAGAAATTATTCCTATCTTATCAGCTACTTCCTCCTTCTTCTGATAATATTTGTATGTAGGTTATTAAAGGTTATATATACCCCTGTGCAGTTTTGCTTACAAGTCTGCATCACTCCTTTCTTTCTCTCTCCTTTTCTCTCTCTCTTTGTTTCTTCCTACCACCCCGTAATTTGTGAGCTCCCTGAGGGAGTACATGGTACTAGAATGTTCATAATTTTACACATGGCATGCAACACAGTGCACAGAAACAAATAATGAGATACATATTATTTTTGGAAATGTGAAACCATGAAGGGAAGGCTTTTGGCAAGGCAGACATTTTTATTTTCAATAGATGTATTAATCATAATCTGTACATGTGCTGATGTTCGTGAAGTCTGAGGCATTGATGAGATTTTGCCTGACTGCTTCCTCGTACTGTCTCCCTCAGAGATTTGGATGGAGATCCTCAGAAAATTCTGCAAAACCTCTCCCATCTTTATAATGAGATGATCATTTGCCTTTTAGGTCTTTGATCTAGTCTCATAAATTTAAATATATTGGTATCTATTCGATGTTCATGAAGCGGTCCTTCTTGTGACTTGGGTTGGCATTTGAAAACTTTTTTATTATGGAAAATTCAAATGCACACACAACAAAATAGTAAATAAAATAGTTGAATGGACCCCATGTGTCTGAGTTCACGTTAAACATTTTCAGTGTTTTCCTGCTCTTCTTTCATTTTCATGTCCAACTCCCTGCTGTGTTAAACTGGATTATTACTATGAATTATTTTCAATTTTTTAAGGTAAAATATATATACATTGACTTACAAAAATGTAGCTGGAGAGAGTTGGTAATTGGGTATGCTTATCTCTATGTGGGACTTGTCCGTTTCCCTACAACTGGCCCAGGTTTCTTTCCCAGGTTACCCCTGTTCCTTTTTCCCGGGGGCAGCTGCTCTTGTGTTCTTTTTCCACTATAGGTTAGTTTTGCCTGATGTAGAACTTCACATAAATGAAACCATATGTGTCTTCTCCTGTATATGACATCTTTTACCCAACAAAATATAACCCTTATCTATATTGTTCCATGTTTGGGTCCAAATTGCTGCAGCTGCTTAAGGTTCAAGTTCAGTTCTTAGCCTATGGGGAAGGTGCAGAAAGGAAAGGACAAGACAAAGATGTGTAGCTGTAAGTTACTCTGTCTCCGTTACTAGACTCTGAGACTGGAGTGGGGTCTTTTGTTTCTGTATTTATAGTATCTAGCAAAATGCTAGAACTATACTAGGTGCTCAATAGAATTTTTCTAAATGAAAGCATGTACTTTCAAGGGTGTGGAGTTCTAGTTGAGTTGGTCTCTAAGTGCATTAGCGATGCAGAATTATGAACCATGGTGAGCTGGGTTGGCATTTGCAAAGTAAATAGCTACTGTAGTGAAGATGGTACCAAAAGAGGTTGATTCAGCTTTAAAGCACATTTTAATTTTCATAATGATTTTGGCTATGGTTCTTCTACCCTATTTAGCATATTTATTTATTCATTAGCATATTTATTTCTTCTTAATATTTTATTTAGAAAAAATTTCAAATATGAAAAAAGTTAAAAGGGTAAGATTTAACAACTACTATCGTTAGGGAGATTTGCTTTCCTCCTATCATTTCTTTTTTTTGGTATCTCACATACGTAAACATCCACAGTGACATTATATTACTATTATGATAATTCTTTTCCATCATCTAATATCCTGTTCATATTCACATTTTTATTATCCCAATAAAGTCTTTTGTAGTTCATTAAAATCAGGATGCAAAGTTCATGCAATTATTCATTTTTATACTTTTTCAGTCTCAGTCTCTCTCTCTCTTTGGCACCCACCCACCCACCAAGAAGTATTCATTTTCTTAATCTAGAACAGATCTTTACCTTATTCTTGCCCTGTGGCATTGAGGCTTATAAAAATCTAGCCCAGTTAAAGAATGCCTCACATTCTGGTTTGTGTGATACTTTTTTATGATTGCACTGGCTCTTCATAATTTCCGTAAAATTGAAGTTTCTAGTGCTGTATTGTCTATTTCAGTAGGTACTAGCTACATGGGCCTTTTTCCTATTTTCATGTAGCTAGTGCTAGAGGAAGAACATCTTTAGTTTTAATTTGAATTAATTTAAATTTAAAACATACTTTATTAAGTTTAGAAATTTTTATGTATATTCAAAACAACTTGGATATATGAATATACTTTTTCAACTATAAATACCATGAATTCTAAAACCAAGTATTTTTAATAAAAATTGAGTGTTTGAATTAAGATATTCTGTAAGTCTAAAATACATGCTAGACTTTTAACATAAAATATGAAAATGGAAGAAATGAAATGCTCATTAAAAGTTTCTATATTCATTACACGATGAAATGAAAATATTTTTAACCTATTAAGTTAAATCAGTTATATTATTTATATTAATTTTAATACTTTTGCAATGTGGGTTCTACAGAATTCTAAGCTCTATATTTTAGAAACTCCTTCCTATACCCCCACTCCTTGCCTATGCCTCCTTCCAATTCAAACCACATTCAAGAATGAACACTACCATTGCTTGTGACAGTAGAGATGAGTTTTGTTGTTGGGCTTTTAATTTTTAATTGAGTGAGGGTGATTTTATTGGATTTTCCACACTGTACTCTATGTTGTTAAATGTCAGTGTCCACCAGAAAGGTGAAATTTCAAAATAGATTTCACAAGAAGATGAAGGAGAAAATACTGCAGGCAGCTAGGAGTAAGTACCAACTGACCTGCAAGGGCATAGCCATTAGGATGACAGCAGACTTTTCAGCTGAAATTTTCCAAGCCAGAAGAACATGGTCATCCATCTTCAATATTGTTAAACAAAACAATTTTCAACCCGGAATTCTGTATCCCGCTAAACTGAGCTACAAAATTGATGGAGAAATTAAATCTTTCATGGATATACAAGCACTGTGGACATTAGCCACAACAAGACTTCAGCTATAGGAAATACTTAGACCTGTTCTGAAAACTAACCATCATGATGGACCAGTGGCAAAGTAAATACTCAGAAGCTAAAGGTCAAAACTTAGCTTCCACAATGGCACAAAAAATAAAATTATCCAACAGACTTTCTCATAACAAGATAAATAAAATTCTACCACACTTATCAATGCTCTCAATAAATGTCAATGAATTGAATACACCACTGAAGAGGCACATGTTGGCTGAGTGGATAAAAAATCAAGCCATCCATATGCGGTCTCTAGAAGACACAACTAGCCCTGAAAGACAAATCAAAACTTGGGTTAAGGTATAGAAAAAAGTATTTCAAACAAATGGAAATCAGAAGAAAGGAGGGTTTGCAATCTTATTCTAAAATGCAAGTGGATTCAAAGGACTTAAAGTTAAGAAAGACAAAGATGGACATTTCATGTTGGTTAAAGGAACAGTACAACAAGAAGAAATCTCAATTTTAAATATTTATGCACCTAAATGAAATGCTCCCAGATTTATGAAACAGGCATTGAGAGGTTTGAGCAATATGATATCCCATAACACCTTAAGAACTGGGGACTTTAACACTCCTCTGACAAAACCGAACAGATCCTCTAAACAGAAACTAAACAAAGATACAAAGGACTTAAATGTGACCCTAGAACAAATGGGATTAATAGACATATACAGAATACACCACCTCAAAGCAAAAGAAGATACTTTTTCTTGTCAGCTCATGGCATACACTCCAAAATAGATCAGATCCTAGGATACAAATCACACCTCAGCAAAATGAAAGGAATAGAAATTATACCTTGTCTCTTCTTAGACCACAGTGCTATAAAGGTGGAACTCAACTTCAACAATTCCCACACAAAGGCATAGTAATTAAACAACCTTATACTGAATGATAGTTGGGTTCAGAGTAGATAAAAGAGGAAATTGTTTATTTCCTCAAACATAACAACAATAGTAACCTCAAGAAGAAACAATAAAGGAGAAATAATAACAGATGCCATAGAGAAGAGATATCACTGAATACTATAAGAAACTCTATACCCAGAAATTTGATAATGTGGAGGAAATGGATCAATATGTGGAATCATAACCCTTTTCCTAGAGTTAATCAAGAAGAAACAGATTTCCTGAATAGCCTATTTTCAAGCACTGAGATAAAAAAAAAAATTTAAAAATTTCACAACAAAAAATTTCCTGGTCCAGATGATGGCTTCCCACCAGAATTCTGTCAAACCTTTAAAGAAGCTGATACCCACTCTATAGTAACTATTCCAAAAAATTGAGAAGGAAGGAATCTTCGCCAACATGTTCTATGAAGCAAACATCACCCGGATACCAAAGTCAGGAAAACACCCA